TAAACTATAGTGGAGACTCTGGAGACGGGGCCATGGCCAGCCAGTGCCACCTGGCAGTGACCTCGGGGCTGCGGGCTCACCTTCGAGCCCCCAGAGGGAGCCTCACTCTTCCCGCAGGACGGGATCCAGGTTCAGTCGGGGGTGAGTGGATCCCATTAGTGACCTGCGGAGACCCCAGTGCAAGACTATAAGATGGAGACAGAAATATATATATAAAGACCCCAAAATGCAAATGCTACAGACAATATAGTCAATTATTCTTTTTTTAATAAAGATTTTATTTATTTATTTTTAGAGAGAGGGGAAAGGAAGGAGAAAGAGAGGGAGAGGAACATCAATGTGTGGTTGCCTCTCATGCGCCCCCTACTGGGGACCTGGCCCGAAACCCAGGCATGTGCCCTGACTGGGAATCGAACTGATGACCCTTTGTTTCACAGCCAGTGCTCAATGTATTGAGCTACACCAGCCAGGGCTCAATAATTCTTTATATATACTCCTCACCCAAGGATATATTTGTTGACTTCAAAAAGAGAGGAAGGGCGTCCACAGCCACATCCCACTGAACGTGCCTGATCTTGTCTGATCTCAGAAAAATGAGCGGAAGGGAAAGGGAGAGAAACATGGATCAGGTATCTCCCACATGTGCCTCAACCGGGGGTCGAACCTGCAACCTGGGCATACCCCCGACCTGGTGTGGAACCTGCAAGCTTTTGCTGTGAGAGATGATGCTCCAACTGACTGACCCACCCGGGCGGGGCAAGTCAATAATTCTTAATGCTGGCCTCCATCCTGGAGGTGGTGTCTCCGTTCCTCCTGGTTGATGTAACAGCACGCAGGAGGCTGGGTGGCACGTCCACAACGAAAATGAGTTGGTAGCGGTTCTGGAGGCTGGCATCGGAGGTCAGGGCGCCAGCGTGGCCGGGTGCCGGTGGGAGCCCTCTTCTGGGTTGCTCAGGCCCACTGCGTGCTGTGCCCGCACGTGGTGGGAGGGAAGGGGGCTCTCTGAGGGCCCTGTGACAGGGACATTAATCTCATCATTCACGCAGAGCCCCGGTGCCCTGGTCGTCTGCAGTCAGACTGCAGCGGTGGAAGCCAGAAATGGAGCTTTCTCCGCAAGCAGCCCCACCTTGCCTTTCTCCCATTGAAAAGCCAGTTTTGTGGCACCGTCCTCACAACCCGCTCGGGCGCCCTGACCTACGCAGATGTTGCCAAACCCCACGCGCGTTCCCACTGCCCCAGAGGCAACCGCCATTTGTTCCGAGAAACCGAGGAACGCTCGCTGAATTAATAGAAGGCTTGGTTAAGGTATACACGGCTTTGTGCGTTGCTGGCGCCCTGCAGGGCTGTCAGGATTGGCCTCGCGGCTCCGGGTTTCCTCTGAAGCAGAATTCGCCGCAGAACAGACGAGGGGATGCTATGGTAACAAACAGCACGCCTCGGCTCCCGGCTCCCCGAGGCGCGCACGGAGGCCCCTGCTCATTTCCATCGCTGCCGTCACGCGCCCTCCCGGATCTGCGGATCTGCGGGGGCCCGGCTCTGAGCTGTCATCGTCCCCGCGCGCGGGGCGTGGGCTGGCTGAACAGCCACCATCTGAAGCAGCCTCAGTGACCGTGGCGGGGGGAGGGTGCAAAGCACAGAGTCCCCAGGCTGCCTGAGCGTCCGCCCTCCATGACGCATTTCATTAGCCAGGTGATGCACACGGATAAGCCGACTCTCCAGGCGCCCTGGGTGGAGGAGAACAATGGCGCAGCCGGCCCACCTCACACATGCCCCGGTTCCCCGTGGACCCTGGGCCACGCAGGACCTGGAGGCGGAGCCACACAAAGGCAGCCGGCCTCGGTGTTTCCTCTCTAGGTTCCCCGTGTGAGGGAGATCCCAGCAAGAGACCCCGTAGTGCTGAGAGTCCCCCATGTGCCTGGCGGGTGGGCAGAATCAGCAGACAGGTGCCACCAAGACACATGTCCCAGCCCAGAAAGCTTCACTGTCCCCACGGGCCTGAGACTCCCCCGCCTCCTCCAAGGCCAACCTGGGGAAACCTGTTCTACTTGTCCAGGTGGCACAAAACAGCGAGTGGGAGAACAGCAAGTGGGGGATAGGATCAGCAGATAAATCAATAGGACCCAAGGCTCTGGAACAGAGCTGATTAGCAACCACCGCGGGGAAAAGTAAGCCAGGGCCTGAGGACCGCACCTCCGCGAGAGTGACCACCTGCTACCGTGAAGGATTTCAGCAGGCCCCGGGGTCTCCTCCCACAGCCGATCAAACGTGGGGGAGACAATACAGACCCCCCGCCATGCCCGGGGCCAACAAGCCGCTGACATTAACACGGAGGTGGACCAGACGTTGGAATTACCCGACGAGGATTTTAAAAGAGCTGCTACAAAAATGCTTCCACAACGAATAATAACAGATCCTCTTAAAACAAAACCTGGAGGGCACTATGCCACGTGAAGTCAGTCAGACAGAGAAAGAAATACCCCTTGATTTCCCCTCCGTGAGGGGCTGCAGGACAAAATGACACAGAAACCGGCTCCCAGACACAGAGGGCACAGACGGGTGGCTGCCAGAGGGGTGGGGGTGCGGGCTGGGTGACAAGGCGGGAGGACTTAGAAGGACAGATTGGCAGGTACAGAGGAGTCGCAGGAATGTGAAGGACAGCGCAGGGAATCAAGTCGGTAACACTGTAATAACTGTGCCCGGTGCCGGCGGGTTCTGGGATTATCAGGAGGAGCACTTCAGAAAGTATGGGGCTGTCTGACTGCTGTGCTGCGCACCTGAAACTGACACGCAGTGACATCGAATGTCAACTGTAATTGAAAAATTAAAAAAAAAAATCTGTAAGCCACGACGACCTCAGAGCCAAGAAACAGATATTACAAAAAATGGAAATCTGAAAACTGGAAAATACAGCAGCAAGTTTAAAAAGGAGATGTACACTGGGTAGGGTCAGTAATGGAACCGTGACGGCGGAGAATGGAGTCACTGAACTCGAGGCTCAAATGTACCCGATTTGAACAACCAATCTAAGCAAAATGGAGGAATAGACTTAAATAAAGTGAACAGTCTCTGAAAACTAAGGGACTCTTTTTTAAAAACCATTAACGTTCCTGTCATCAGAATTTCAAGAAAAGAGGAGAGAGGGGCTGAAAGAATATTTGAAAAAGGAATCACTGAAAACTACCCATGCAGAGCTACAGACTGAAGACCCTAAACAGGATAAACCAAAAGAAATGCACACCAGACACAAAGCAAAAAGTCTTGCAAGAAGCTAGAGAGAAATGATACATTACCTATGGGGGTGGAAAGGATTCAAAGGAGAAAAGATTTCTGGTCGGAAACAATGAGAACCACAAAAAAAAGTGGCCGGAGATTTTTCAAGCATTGAAAGGAAAAAATTCACCCCCAAATTTTATCTCTCAGAATGCCCGGTCTTTCAGGAATGCAAGGGAAATAAGGCCATTAAGCAGATGAAATAAAACGGAAAGAATGTGTTGCTAGCAGCCATACCCTGAAGGACTAGCTAAAGCAATTAGTCAAACAAAGGAACCGGTGAAGGAGGGTGTCTTAGAGACTCTGAACAGAAGGAAGGAGAGAAATAATGGGCTGTGGCCACCACAGTGGACTATACCCTTCTCCTCAAAGGCTTTGTCAATCAGGGAGGGAGGCGGAGCCGCTCTGCTGGGCACGGCACTGGGTAGGGCAGGTGCCAGCGTATGCCAAGGCCGTGAACGCACAGGACAGGACTGCAATGCCAAGGCTGCTGTCACCTGCTGTGAGCAGGGGCAGTGCAGTTGCTTTGCACGCATGAACTGGCACCGGACAGGAATATGGGCCCCTCTCCAGCAGCAGCTTGGGGAAGAGGGGCACCCTGACCCTTGACTCGGCGTATCCCTTTTCAAGGGACTAGAGACATTTGTCTCAAGGCACAGTCTCCTGTTTTCCTGGTCTTTCGTCGCCTCTCGGCCATCGCCGTCACCTTGGCCCGGGCTGGACCCCACAGCCAATCGGTGCAAATCGAGTCTCAGAATGTGTTCGGTCATTCGGCCCTCTGGGAAGACTGCGCCGGGCTCTGGCAGCTACATGGGGGCTGGAAGCTGGGTGTCTGCCCCTGGAGGGGCCGTTGTAGCAAACGGGTGGGAGCTGGGGATGACCAGGGAAGTTTCCCCACCCCAGACCAGCAGCCGAAGCCCAATCCACCAGCATATCACCCAGGACCTAAAGAAGAAACCCACTCATGAGAAACCCCTGTGGGTGAAGCAAGCTCCTTAACCTCGTAGATGGATTTGCAGGTCTTTTTCTGGTTTAGTTTTTACCGATCGATTTGAGAAAGAGAAACATGAATGTGAGAGAGAAACTTTGATTGGTTTCCTCCCGTACACACATGACCGGGGATCGAACCCGCAACCATTTCTGGTGTACGCAACAATGCTCCTGCCAACTGAGCTGCCTGGCCAGGGCTGGGGGAATTATTTTGGGATTCTTTCTGAGGGTAAATAGGACATGGGACACCCAGTGTTCTCTACCAGTTTCTGTGCCAGAGGTTGGCTGTGATCCTTGGCCAGGCACCAAGGAAGCGTGGAACATTCTTGGTAAGCTAAGCTGCCCAGTGATGTCACGGTTTATTTCCTGGGCACTGTTTTCAGCCACATGTCGAGCTCAACGGCCTTCCCTGGCTACTTCCTGAGACACATGTCGGGGACTCAGATCTGATTCTACATCACGGTCTCAAATTCTGTTACAGTGACCTTTCATACGTGGTGGGGCGAAAATCGGTGTACAGTCGTTTATGGACAATACTACAGTCATTAAAAACAGGAATCAGCCCTGGCTGGTGTGGCTCAGTGGATTGAGTGCCAGCCTGCAAACTGAAAGGTCACAGGTTTGATTCCCAGTCAGGGCGCATGCCCGGGTTGCTGGCCAGGTTCCTGGTAGAGAGTGTGAGAGAGGCAGCGGATCGATGTTTCTCTCCCTCTCTTTCTCCCTCCTTTCCCCTCTCTCTTGTGCTTGCTTCGGCAGCACATATACTAAAATTGGAACGATACAGAGAAGATTAGCATGGTCCCTCTCTCTAAGACTACATAAAAATAAAACTTAAGGAATCAAATTCCAAAAAAAGAAAAGAACACAGATAATTAATAAAAGATAATACAGGAATAAACTCTGTGTTTTGCATGCTCACAACTGTAAATTTTTTCGCCCACCCTGTACAATACAAAACATCCCCAAGACTTTGCTGACAATGTGAAGGAAGTAATAGGATTTCAACACTAAAAACCCACCTGGATAGTATGTTGAGCTGCACCGAGTTCCTTAAGACCTTTTCCCCTGGCCCTTTCCTAGTATTTTATGTGATATCTGATTCATGCTTAGTTTTCTTCTCTTCCCTTATCGGAATATATACGATCAAAGTGAACACGTAAGCTTTACAAAACCAGTCTCCTGGCATCCGCGCCCCAGTCATGCTCTTCCTCCAGTTCTCTGCCTGCGCACGCAAAGCAACTGGGCTGCCCCCTGTTCACAGCAGGGGACAGCGGCCTTGACATCGCGGTCCTGTCCTGTGTAGCCATGCAGGCCCCTGCCTGACCCGCGCCGCGCCCTGCAGAGGGGCTCCGCCTGCCTCCCTCCCTCCTCCGGCGGGCCGAGGAATAGTAATTCATATAATTCATAGTTCCTAATCAACACCGTGCTCCCTGGGTACCAACTCCTCCGGGCCATGTGACACAGTGCTGCGTCACGTGACCTCCGTGCCCTCCAATCAGGGCCACCCATGATCGCAGCCTCTGTTGATGCTCAAGTTCTTTGTAAGCCCAGCTCCACACCCAGGTGCGATCTTCACTCCCTCCCTCCTCTTAGTCCAAATAGCTCTGCGCTGGCCTCTCCTGCCTGGAAATGCCCCTTGTGGGACCTGGTCAATTTGCTGAGCGGTCCTGAGTTCAGGTTCTTCCAGCTTGTAATGCAGTTTGCTGCTTTCCTCGTACCCTTCTGCACTGCAAAACCTGGGCTTCTTCATTTTCTCTGCTTAAATGATAGTCCTCTGCTTATATTAAGGCTTTCCCTATCTCACCCATCTACTAACCTATTTCTTCTTCTAAAAATTTTTTTAATCCTTGCCCAAGGATATGTTTATTGGTTTTAGAGAGAGAGGAAGGAGAAGAGGGAGAGAGAAACATTGATTGGTTGCCTCCCATACACGATCTGCAACCTAGGCATGTGCCCTGACCGGGAATCCAACCCACGGCCTTTTGGCGTAGGGGATGACGTTCCAAGCAACTGAGCCCTGGGGAGTCAGACGTCAAGCAGAAGTGATGGTCTCAGCAACAGGTCCATGTGTGGGAGGTCAAGGTCAGCCCTCAAAAGCCAGCACATGGTTGTGGGAGGCTGGAAATGGGTATGAATGCCTCCGTGCAGGCAGGTGCGAGAGGCGCCGGCAACGCCAGCTGCCGCCCTGTGGTTCTGGCAGAGAATTCAGTCCTCGGAGAGCTGCCAAGAGTCAGAGAGGCCTGGTCTCCACAGAGGGTGAGAGGAAGCCGAACCTGGCAGAAACCCAGGTGCAGGGCCTGGGGCACCAGGTCAGAGGGAGGCTGTGCTCAGGTCTCACCAAGCCGCGTGCATCAGACGGGTCTGGATTCTGAGCCACGGCGGGGCCCTGCTGGCCTTGTAGGAGGCCAGGTAGATTGTTACAGTCTTCAAGGACAAGCACAAATTCCTTAGGTGGGGAACACTCCTCCCGAGTGGGAAAGGGGCCATTTGGCTACAGCCAGACTAAGCACGGATGGGTCACGTGATGTCACTTTGACCTATAAGTTCTAAGCACAAGTTGCCCGGTGGGACTTGTCTTTTACCCTCTTGAGTTAACTTCCTGTGTTCTCCTCCCTTCCTTCTGGAACTGACTTTTCTCAACACTGGACACCAGCCGCAACCCTTGGTCCCTTGACCTAGCTCTTGCTTAACGCTTTGGTTTTGTACCACAGTGTGCAAAAAATGTCTTCCAAAAGCTTGCCGGAGACACGTGGAGAGTCAGATGCTAACTGTGCGTTCTCAGTCCTGGTTTTCTTGGGACTTGGTTTGTCCAGAGTCTCCTTGTTGGGGCAGCTCCCCAAGTGCTTTGGTTCTGTGCCGATCCTCCGCTAACTCTGAAGATCCTCCGCTCTCCCAACTGCCTTTGGTCACCCGTCAATGTGGACATTGACCACTCTTGTCTATTACCTGTCCTTTTTGTGTCACTTACCTCTGCTTCGGGGACTGTATTCCTGTCAGAGCTTTAGCAGTTACATCGACAGAGCTCATCTGCTATTCTTAGCCCCCTTTCATCTCTTGCCCGATCACCAGGTGGGTATTTCAGGGAGCCCCTGCCCCATTCGATGTTCAAACCCAGTCTTTCATTACTTTTTATCCCTAACCAGGGCTAACCAGGTGGTGGGAGTGTTGGGGTTGATGGATTGCTTTAAACTGTCTGCATCAGTCGGCCCCGGCAGGGTGGTAGCTCAGTTGGTTGGAGTATCGTCCTGATGAAGGTTGCAGGTTCAGTCCCCCATCAGGGCACACACAAGAAACAACCAATGAGCCCTCACGGGTGTGGCTCAGTGGACTGAGCACAGGCCTGTGGACGAAAGGAACAACCAATGAATGCGTGAATAAGTGGAACAACAAATTGATGTTTCTCTCTCTCCGCCCCTTCCTCTCTCTCTCTCTCTAAAATCAATAAATAATAAAAAAGAAAGAGAAAGAAAATGATCAGCATTGGTTCTTGCCAGAGCTTTATGCTTCTGATTCCCCTAGTAGCTTGGTGAAGTATGTTACCTGGCCAGCCCCATTTTAAAGCCCCAAGGAAGTGAAGCAATTTTTCCATCAAAATCAGTTGCCGGATTCTGCCAATTGTAACTCCCACCTGTCCCTTCATATTGTCCAGCCACAGAGCACCCTCCGTCACCACCCCTGCTGCAGCATCACTGTCTCCCTCGCCTGCCCGGGTCCTCAGGTGCCCAGGCCTCGTGCCTCGTCTTCCCTCCTCCGGCTGGACCACTACAACAGGCTCTCCCAGGCTCCCAAGAGGCGCTCTGCGGGGTGTGACTAGGCACCGGGCATGAGATGGCTGAATACCTGTGGGAGACTAGGGGTTTCATTTCAGCTTTCTCACATGGGGCTTTCTAGATCTTTTTTTTTTTTTAGGTTACTTACTTATTTACTTATATTTATTTATTTAATTTATTTATCTTTAGAGGGGAAGGGAAGGAGAGAGGAGGAGAAACATCAATGTATGGTTGCCTTTCATGCGTACCCTGCTGGGAACTGGTCTGCAACCCAGGCATGTGCCCTGACTGGGAATTGAACCTCGATTGTCTGGTTTCGCAGGCTTGCGTTCAATCCACTGAGCTACACCAGCCAGGGCTATTTATTTAATTTTAGACAGAGGGAGAGGGATGAGGAAGAGAGAGGGAGAGAAACATCAATGTGTGGTTGCTTCTGGTACACCTCCAACTGGGAACCTGGCCCACAACCCAGGCATGTGACCTGACTGGGAATTGAACCAGCGACCCTTTGGTTCTCAGGCCAGCGACCCTTTGTTTCTCAGGCCAGCACCCAATCCACCAAGCCATACCAACCAGGGCTAGATCTTTTAGCCTACCCTGAGCATTGCACTTCTCCAACTGTAGATTGTACTTAGGTGGTGTTCTTGCACTTACTGTATTTTGCTGTGTATGATGCACAGGGTTTTTGCTCAGTTTTTTTGAGGGGAAAATAAGGATGCACATTATACATGGGTATAATGATTGTATACCGTGTGTATAATAATCCCGTGTATAATATGGACAAACCTATGAGTGCTCATTATCCATGGTGAATGTGGTATTTGAAAATGAGAGCATGCTGTTCACTGTTTAGTTCTAGGGACATTTGAGAGACATCAACCACAAGTAGCGTGGACATGTATACAATTTTCAGGTTCTATTCTTCTCCCACACTGTCACAAAGCAACCTTCCTCCTCTCCGCCCCATGTGAGCAAGAACAAGGTCCCAGCTCCCATGAACTGGGAGGCAGCTGAGCCCGGAGCAGAGAACCCTGGGCACTGGTCATGTCCCACCATTTGATCTTTATCACTGTTCCCAGCAAGAAGCGTGACTGATCGGTTTCCTTGTCCTCTCCCCACATTTTTAAAAAAGATTTTATTTATTTATTTATTTATTTATTTATTTTTGGAGAGAGGAGAAGGGGGGGATACAGAGAAGGAGAGAAACATCGTTGTTGATCAGTTGTCTCTCGCATGCCCCCTACTGGGGACCTGGCCTGCAACCCAGGCACGTGCCCTGACTGGGAATTGAACTGGTGACCCCTTGGTTCACAGGCCAGCACTCAATCTGCTGAGCCACTCCAGCCAGCGTCCTCCACAACTTTTTTTTTTTTTTGTCTTTCTCTTCCCTCTGTAGTCATGCCGCTCATTTCTCCTTCCTGACATTGCTCTGTGACAACCCTGCTTACAGTGGGGTCCAAGCAACGCTTTGGATGCTTGTGAAAAATGCAGATTCCTGGGATCTACCTTGGACCTATTGATCCAATAGGACTCTTGGTGTGGGACCTGGGACACTGCATGGCAACACACTCCCCAGGTGAATCTTGTAGGTATTAGCAAGTCAGTATCGTCGCTAGTTCTTATGGTTAATTTTGCTCTCAGAAGCTCTGTTGAGAACGCTGGAGGAGAATTTATAACAGGTGACTAAACCGTGTGACCCCCACCGACGTCTCCTGTGTTGCCGATAGCTTCAATCGGCGCTGTGCTTGGGTGTCAGGAGTGTGAATAAGCAGGAAGTGAGTCTAGTCCTCAAGGGGCTCGAAGGGCTTCGAGAACCATAAATCTCATTAATTCTCCTCCTGTTCTCTAGCGGCACAGAGATACTCATAGAAAAGTAAGGAGAAGGAAGCCTATGTTGTGGGGGTGAATCACACTCTCTCATGGAAGAATACAGTCATCGAAGAGCTGCTGAGATGATAAGACAGAATGGTAATAAGGAAGCCCGCCTCACCCGGGAACCGTTTCTAAGGGAGAGTGCTTTGCTCACGACCCAGGCAGAAGCAGGTTCCCTTCACGTCAAGAATTTTCCTAGCAGCGTC